TTTTTTTTTTTTTTTTTTGGTACCAGGGATCGAACTCAGGACCTTGCGCTTGTGAGGCAGGCAGCAACACCACTGAGCTAAATCCCCAGCCTGCAGGTGCATGTTCTATTGGGTATCAGGCTCCACATTCTTCAGCCTTTGAACATGGACTTGCAGCTGCCTCCATGGGGGCGTTTAACCTTCAGTTTTTCTCATTTGGAGGCTTCTGGTTTCTTGGACAGAGAAAACTGCTGGTTTTCCAACTCTCTGTTCTGCTGATGGCTCTTGTGGGACTGTTGAGTCTCAACAGAATGAACTGAATCTCTTTTTGCTGCTTTGATTCTATAGGTTCTGACTCCTTGGGGACGCCTGACTATGTTGACGAGCTCAGATGCCACTGAGTACGGCTCCCATGTGAGGGCCCCCCACTTGGTCCCTGCCCCACGCCTACCTTCAAAAAGGTAATCCAGGTACCGGGACTCTGCCCAGGGTGACCTGGCACTGCCAGAGGCTGCCTGCACGCGTCCCTTGAACTTGATGTACAGGTCCTGTTTCTTCAGGCACATCAGAGGACACACCAGTGCCGTGGTTCCCAAACACTTTCCCGCTCTTCGCCATCGTCTCCGGTTGGAAATGCTGGGTGAGGAGAGAAGAATATGGGCCATGGACTCAGCCTCTCTAATGAAGAAACTTAGCAAACATGTGATCCCCCCCCCCCCGCCTCATCCATCCATCCATCCAACCAGAGACCTTTGGCTGGGACAGAATAAGCACAGTCTGATTGGAAGCCAGGTAGGGAATCCTGGCTCTTCTGCTCACTAGCTACTCGACTGTAGGCAGATCGCTGCCCCTAAACCTCAGTCTCCTCATCCACAATGCCTCTCTCACAGGCTGTTGTGGTGGCTGCTCTTGCTAGTACTCATGAACATTGCTCTATTATTATTATTATTTTTTGGGTACTGGGGATCGAACTCGGGTCCTTGTGCTTGCGAAGTAGGACTGGCTGTGTGCCAGGCACCACGCTGCGTGCTGTGTAGCTGTCAGAGTGTGGCATGCAGGTCCAAGACTCCAATCTCTTGACACTAGGGTTAAAGGACATTGTTCCAGAAACTAGGGAATAAGCATGCACCACAGATGAAGCTCTGCCCTCAGATGTGGCGGGGGCAAAAGATAAGAGTCAGGCCACCGAGATACCAGGAGCTGGTAAGTACAGCGATAAGAGTGTAACGTGGGAGTGACTGCTTTCAAAGACATCTTAGCCAAATCCAGGAAGATGGTAGAAAGCTGAGACCTCACTGAGGAGAAGGAGAGAGCCAGGTGAGGATGTGTGGAGAGGAAAAACAAGGACAAAAATCCTGTGATGGGAGGAGCTTGACTTGTCCAGAAAAACAAAAGGCCAAGATGGCAGGAGCCCTGAGGGGAAGGGAGGGAGGGCTGTGGATGGTGGGGAGGTCAGGTGGGGCCTGGAAAGTGTGAGTAAAGAGTTTGGATTTATTCTAAGTGTGAACAGAAGCCACCAGAAAGTTTGAATAGGGAGGCAGGTATGATCCTTGGGCTTGCAAGGCAGGCGGCGGAACCACTGAGCTAAATCCCCAGCTGTCTCCCTCTTCTTGTGCTACTTGAGGACCCTGGCTTTGGCCCTTCTCTCTGTGAAGACACAGCAAGAAGGCGCCATCTTGGAAGCAGGGAGTGGCCCTCAACATATGTTAGCACCTCAGACTCAGGAGCTGTGAGAGGTAAACTGCTGTTGTTTCTAAATCTCCCAGTCTAAGGTATTTTGTTAGAGCAGACACAGACGGGAATTGAAGTGCTATAACTTAGATTTTTAAAAGATCTCGCTGGTAAACCAGGTGAGGGCTGTAGCAGGGATTCAAGAGAGATGGCAATGGAGGCTGTGAGAAGGGCTGGGTTCAGACTGTATTTTTGAGGTAGAACTGACAGAAGTCGCTTGCGGGTCAATTGTGGGTTGTGAAGAAAAGGAGACTCAAGGATACCCCCGAGTTTCAAGTCTGAGTGGTGGGTTAATGGAGAAGACAGAGAAGGAGTTGATACAGAGGACAGACTCAATTCCTGTTTTGTATCTCGCATCAAGAGTTATGTGAAAATTAACAAAAGAGGAAGTGGTGTATTTAATGTGAGACAAAACATAGGCTTCAAAATCTAATACAATACTAAAATAGTCACCATGTAAGTATAAGGGACGCTATTTACCAGGAGCACAGAAAAATTATAACTTATACAGGCCTACTGAACATCTCACACTTTCTTTCTTCCTTTTTTTTTGTGGTACTGTGGATCAAACTCAGGATCTTGTGCTTTCCAGGCAGGTGTGTCCCCAGTCTGCTTTTTTTTTTAAGGGGCTTTTGTTTTCTTTCACTTTTCATTTTTGGTACCCTGAGTCAAACCCAGGGCCTTACACTTGCTAGGCAGATGCTACACCGTTGGCTCTCACACTTTCTTTCTTTCTTTTTTTTTTTTTTTTTTTTTTTTTTTTGGTATGGGGGATGGAACTCAGGACCTTGCGCTTGTGAAGCAGATGGCGGAACCATTGAGCTAGGCCCTCACACTTTCTAAAGTGACAACTGGAAGGAAAAAAAAAAATCAGTAAATAGATATAAAAAAGAACAATTTCAAGTTTAGTGGCACATACATAGAACTGACTGAAGAATCGCATATGAATTATTAACAAAATATTAATAATTACCAATAAGAGTATAGCAATTCTCAAGAAATTTCAAAGAATAAGAATTTCTTATGCCGGGGATTTAGCTCAGTGGTTCCAGCATCTGCCTCGCAAGGACCCGAGTTTGATCCCTGCACAAAGAAAAAAAAAAAAAAGAATTTCCTCTGACTGCAGATTAATCCAGTTAAAAATCAATAATTTAAAAAAAAAAGAGAACCAGAGGCAATTTGAAATTTAAAAAGTGTGTTTAAAAATAACTCAGGATCAAAGAAAACATTATAATGAGATTGGTAAGTGTCTAAAACTGAGAGACATGGTTGAGAGTCCCCCAGCTCATTAGACTGCCTTCTGTGATTTCTACTGATGCTGCATGGGAAGCACTCTGCGAGAAACTGAAGCCATACAGTGACTTGCCTTGAATTTACTGTGCAGCCACGTCTGCCCTTAAACTCCATGGTGACCCTCCTGCATTGACCGCCCAAGCGCTATAATTACAGGAGGCAGTGTCCTTTGAGGATGTGGCTGTGACCTTCACTATGCAGGAGTGGGCTTTGCTGAATCCATCCCCACAGAAGCTCTGCAGAGATGTGATGGGGAAAACCTTTAGGAACACGGCTGCTACAGAAATAAACTGGGGATCAAGGTGAAGAAATATTCCTTTGGACTCTAGATGCTAACGTGGGCATGACTGCAATCCCAGGACTTGGGACACTGGGGTAGCAGGATTGCTGCAAGTTTGAGGCCAGGCTGAACCTCATAGCAAGACCCTGTCTCAAAAAAAAAAAAAAAAAAAAAAAGGTAAAAAAGAGAGGGAAACAAAAGCTAAAGTGATAAAATTTCTAGAAGAAAGCATAGAAGGAAAAATGACTTTGCGTTGGGCAAATGTCACTAGGACACCAAGGTGTCGATCTTCCAGGGCTGACATAAGACAACACCAGACTGTGTGGCTTCAGTGACAGAAAACTTGTGAGGCTGGAAACCTGAAATCAAGGCACTGGCAGGTTGGTTGCTTCTGAGGCCTGGCTCCTGGGCTTGCAGATGGCTACCTTGCTGTGTCCTCCACTGTGTGTGTGACTTATATGGCACTTAACACTTGTATTTAAACAGATAAAGCACTCTTATGACTCAGCAGGAAGAAGAAAATTGACCTAGCTGGGTGTGGTGGCACGTCTGTTATTTCAGCACTTGGGGAGGCTGAGGCAGCAGGATTTTAAGTCTGAGTCCAGCCTGGGCAATTTAGCAATTCAGCAAGACCCTGTCTCAATGTGAAAAAAGGTTAAAAAGATGGGGATGTAGCTCAGTGTGAGGGCCCTGGGTTCAATCCCCAGTACCATAAATACACACACACACACACACACACTCACACACTACTTGATAAAAATCAGCAGCATACTTGGATAGTCACTCCACAGAAGAAGACACAGGAGTGTGCAGTGACCACACGAAAAGATGTTCCACACCACTGACCATTAGGGAACTGCTTGGGAGCCAGGTAATGGGTAGAGGCTGGAAGAATTTTGAGGCACACATTGAAAGAAGCCAAAAAGAAATACTACCACGCACCCACGCATGGTTAAAACCAGAAGGACTGGCACACTAGTATCGGTGAGCTTGTAGAACAACTGGACTTCTACATTGTTGGTGGGAATGAGCGATGATATATAAACAGGAGACACTCTGGAAAACCAGTTGATTATTTCTTGTTACGCTATACATTAGAAGATTCTACTCCTGGCTCTTTATCCAAGAGAAATAAAAAGGAAGGGCTGGGGATTTAGCTCAGTGGCACCTGCACGCACCTGACAAGCACAAGGTCCTGAGTTCAATCCCCAGTGCCAGAAAAGAAAAAAAAGAGAAAGAGAGAAAGCAAGAAAGGGGGGGGGAGAGAGAGAGGGAGGGAGGGAGAGGGAGAGAGAGGAAACCAGAAATAAAAAGGAATGAATGAATGTATGGAACAGTGTAAGTAAATTTCAGAACCATGTGCTGGGTGAACACAGCCAGGTCCAAAAGGCCACATACTATACAAATGTATTGGTTTGAGATTTAGGGACACATACATTTAATCCCTGGGGTCAGAAAACAGATCTATATGTCTCTAGATCTGGAGATGGGGTGAGGTTGAGTGCAGAGAGGCACACAAGAGCTTTTGGATGTCATGGTGATGTTTTATATCTTAACTATGGTGGCGGTCACATGGGTGCATATGCTTGTGAGCACTTGTTGAGTGATACTTAAAATAGGGCATTTTGGGCCAGGGATTTAGCTAAGTGGTGCTGCCGCCTGCCTAGTAAGCACAAGGTCCAGAGTTTGATCCCCGGTACTGAGAAAAAAAAAGGGGGGGCATTTTGCTATATGTAAGCTTCAATTTAACCTTGTTGATTTAAACAGAAAAATTCAATCTAACAAGGATACAAAAGAAGGGGCTTTCTCAGTTATACACATGTCATTTAGAAAGAGACTAGACTTTAACTGCAAGTAAATGTAATCAAGGTAAAGAATATAAACAAGCTGTTAAATAACCTTGAACACAGAGGCACACAGAACTTTGAGGTATCCGGTGAAATCTATTTAGAGAACAGCACAGATCAAATAAATAAATAAATAAATGGAATTTGAGAGAAACAGATAAATATTGAAGACAGAAAAGGAAGATCCAACATACAGATAATATGAGCACCTGAAGAAGAAAATCAAGAGAACAAAACAAATATTTAGAACAACAATTTAAGAAAAACTTTCCCTAAGTTAAAAAAAAAGACCAGAAGTATATATTAAGAGAGAATATTGGGCTGGGGATTTAGCTCAGTGGTTCCACTGCCTGCCTCACAAGCATAAGGTCCTAAGTTCAAACCCCAGTATGGCGGGGGGCGGGGAGGGAGAATATTAAGCCAGGTGTGGAGGTGCATGTCTGTAATCCTAGCACTGTGGGAGGCTGAGGCAGGAGAATTGCAAGATTGAACCCTGGACAATTGAGCAACTAAGTGAGACTCTGTTAAAATAAAAAATTAAAGAAGGGCTAGGATGTAGCTGAATGCAAAGGCCGTAGATTAAATCCCCAGTACCACAAAAGAAAGAGAGGTAGGGGTGGGGGGAGGAACTGAATAAATATGTCACCTCAGGACAACCAACATCAACACATAATCCAGTAAAATTATTGAATTTTAAAGAAGAAGGAACAAACATCTGGGCAAAAAGAGCCAAGAATCTCTAAGAGGCTTTTATGCATATTTTCAAATAAAGAAAATGAATAATGAGTAATTATAGGTCATTCGAATTCTATAATCTCCCATGTCCTTGAGAATCAGGATTTTAGTGTGAATGAAAGAAAATACAGATACCACATAGAAGCCAGTATGAACTCAGATATGCTATCTTAAAAATCATGCCTGTGTATGTCCACGTGATATATGTAGGTCCCCGTTCATTGAAAAGACCCCAAAGCCCCAGCTATGTAGATGGCACAGCGGACATGCAGATTGTGGTCTTTAAACCTCCTCTTACTGAACAGAGAAAGGCCTCACTGCAGACTTCAGGTCAGGAATGTACAAGGTGAGCCTGGCATGTCTTGCAGTAGACAACAAGAACGATGTCAAAGATCACAGAGTTAAGTTAAAAGGACAAAGGAGCCACCTTGAAGAGACCTGCTAGCCAAAGACAGGGAAACTGAGGCTTCACTGTATCAAACAAGTTACAGTGGACACCGTGAGATGTGCCTAAATATTCGAGGTCATAATGCTAATGATAATAATAACACTATTTAGTCACTTTTGGGAGAAGATAGAGAACCAATTCATTTATCTTGAAAACTCATAAATCAATGGAAGAAAGGCAACCATTTATCCTGCCTTGCCTATTTGAGCCCCCTGGATATCAAATAGTAGATGAGTGGATGTATGTTTTTATAAAATAATGCAATTAGAATATCACCATTTTGCAATTCTCACAGGTGTTGCTTTTTTTTTTTTTTTAGATAGGGTTTGCTATGCAGGACAGGCCTTAAAATCAGTATTCAAGGCCCAGGCTGGCCTTGAACTCACAGAAATCTTCCTGCCTCAGCCTCCGGAGTGCTGGGATTACATGCGTGCACCACCATGCCCAGCTTCAAAGTTGTTTTAAAAAGTATACAAGAGAGGGACCGGGGATTTAGCTCAGTGGTTCTGCCACCTGCCTCACAAGTGCAAGGTCCCAAGTTTGACCACTGGTACAAAAAAAACCCCAAAAAACAAAAAACATAAAAAATATAAAAGAGAAGAGAAAAATCACAGAGGTCTAGAAGATGGGCTTTTAACTCCTTCGTACAGTTATCCTTCCTACACTACATCCAGCTGAAGGATGACTGAGCGAAATACACCCTTGGTGCCTCAGTCTCCTCATGTGAAAGGGGGCCTGGACACTTCCTGACGGGGCTGTTGTGAGTTGTGAGGTGAATATAGTGAACGTCTGACACAGGGCTGGGTGAGTAGCTCAGTGGTAGAGAGCTTGCCTGTGATGCTCAAGGCCCCAGGTTTGATCCCCAGCACCTTAAAACGATCAAACCACATTAGTAATGTACAGACACAGTGCCTCGCCCCAGCATCCCGTTAGGCACCCCTTGCTTCCTGGTAGGGCTCTTGCTTTGGAAAGACAGTGAAGGAACACGAAGAGTACAAGCTTTGGGATCAGACGTGGGTTCCTCCTGCAACTTGTAACTTGCCTCCTTGGACCAGTCAGGGCACCTCTCTGAGCTCACTCCTCTCACCTCTAAAACTTGAAAACAAGTCCAGGAGGAGGGAGTGAACTATTGCCCCCAGCCTGGTCGTACTAGGTTGGAACCTGGGGGACACAGCAGCTCTGTCCCCTTCCTATTTCCTCCTTCGAGTCCACACAGATCCTGCTTCTATCCTCTTCCTGTTCTGCTGAAGAGCTCCTTATGAGTCTCATGGATATTCGAAGATAGTGAGTCTGCTTTCCAATTTTAGATCCCTCTGGATTAGTGGTGATGGCCTGGGCTTCCAACTTGGGAAGGATCCAAGGCTCTGCCCAGCTCCAGGGGCAACTATGTTTCTCTAATGATGCCCTGGTGGCCAGGCTATGCAGGAGACGGGAGACAGCGTCCGCCCCTCGGCCATGTGGTTACCCTCACTGATCAGCTGGAACAACTCGAGAGCCTCATCCGGGCACTCAAGCACTCTGTCTCCCGGTCTCCTGACCTTCGTACGTTACCTAAGGTCTGCTCCAACTTTTCTCAAAGATTCACCCAACTCCCGGCAGGCCTGTCACCTGTTCACTGTTTTCCATGCCACATCATCCCCACTATTTCCAACTTTTATCAAAAGATCCTCCCCACATACCTGCTATATGCCATCACCTTTGGAACCCAGAGTACCACTGGTGACTGCCCTGCAGCTGAGCTGCTCCTCCAGCCGCCGCCCACAGCCCAGAGGCTCCTGCTTACCTTTGATAGGCCACAAAATAGGTCACGTTCTGGGGGTTGCCCAGCCCTGGGAGCCACATCAGGTACACACTGAAATTCTCAGAGAACAGGGTCACATTTTGGGGAGGAGCTAGATGGGGTCTCCCTGTGGGGAAGAAAGAGGTCATGAAGACTGGAGCTCTTCTCCCCCCCCCTTCGGTAGTGGGGATTGAACCCGGAGCCTTTGCACTGACCCACATCCCAGCCCTTATTAATTTTTACTTTGAGACTGGGTCTTGCTATGTTGCTAAGCGCTCAAGCTTGTGAGCCTCCAGCCTCAGCTTTCGAGAGTGTTGGGATTCCAGGCCAGCACCATCACACCACTGGGAGGGGAGCTCCTAGAGCTGAAGAGCGGCACAGCAGGCAGCTCCTCCAACTGAGGAACTGGAGCTGTGGCTGGCTGTGTTTTGGCTTCTTCCTCTTCCCAGCCCCCAGTGCCATGACAGGAGTCCCCCTCCTCTGTAGCAGCTGCAAGTACCCACAGAACCCCACCGAGTGAGAACCATCTCTGCTCCCCTCCTGATGCCGGGGGTCAGAAGCCCCAGGGTCTCAAGGAGAGGAAGTTTCATCTTGCTCTCTGTGCTCCTGGTGCCTGCCGTGCACCCAGTGGGTCCACAATACGGACTTCTGGAGTGGATGAATTCTGCAATAGCCAGAATCCCTCCTCACTGGCCTCCTAACTGGTCCTCCGGCTTTCAACCTAGTGTGATGGGAACACAGCAAAAGTTGCTACGTGAGCATTAGTAACAGCCACACACCCACAGAGTGGGCCCTGGGCCAGAGAGGAGAACTTGGAGGCATCGTTCCCATCCGCCAGACTGGGCTCCAATTGTCCACTGGGTCCCTGTTTAAACAGCCCATTCAGGTATTTTCCCATGAACTTGAAGTGGTCCCCAGTATACTGTGAGTTGCTCTTTGCTCTGTCTGCCTGAACCCCTGTTCCTTCCTCACCTGACCTGGGGACAGAGAACTGTGCTCTCCTTGCCCAGGATCTGTGAGTAATAAACCCCTGGTCTTGTTTCCTTCTGAAATAAAGCATTGAATTTGCACCTTCTACCTGAAGAACAAGGGGCTCCCCCAGACTGGACTCTCCCTAGGACACCAGGGAGAAGTAGGCCTGGCTGGGCAGCATATAGTGGGCAGACAAAAGCTGTAGCGCATCTGCGAAGATAAACACATTTTGTGCATGGGGGACTCCCAGCTGGGGGCTGGAAAGACAAGATCTTAGGGTAGCTGCCAGTGGAAAGGAGCAGCCCATGAAAGGCATGCAGAAAACGCCCACAGCATTTCCCTGGAGGAGGTGGCTGCTGGCACTCTTGCACTGGAGCCCAATTTCACTGGGGGCCCTCAGAATACTATGCCCCCTCTGTCTGCCCTCTACACAGCAGCAAGGGCTAAGACAAAAGTCTGGCCTCGCCTCCTTCTACTTAAGCCCAACTTCCAGCCATCAAGTCTTCCCCGTCACCACCAAAGTGCCACCCACACTGGCACGCTCCCCTCCCCTTGCTCTCTCCTATCCAGCCGTGTGGCCTCTGGCTCTTTGGGGGCATCAGGCCTGCTCCCTGGCTGGGCCTTTGCATGTGCTCCTCCCTCAGCTTGGATGGTGCTGCCCTGTAAATTCACCTGCCTCACCTCTTGGCTTCTGTCACTCTTGAGGTCCCAGGGACGTGTCCCCTGCCCGTCTTCCACTGGCCTTTACTTCCCTCCTGGACACCTGGTCCTTCTCATTGCTAACTCTCACCTCTGAGACGTGTAGGTGATTACACCACTCCTCAGTTTCATGCCTTTGCCAGGAATGAAGTCCACACTTCTTATCAAGATGCAGGGGCCTGGCCCAGGGATCAGGCAAACACCTCCCTCACCCCTCCTCCCAGACTTCCTTCGTGCTGTTCCCAAGCCACCACACTCTTTGGATGTCTCAGACACAAGAGCCTTGGACTGCCTGGCATTCACCATGTACTCTTTGAAAGACTTGATTGAAATGTCGCTGCCTCCAGGGAGTCTTCTGCGATATCTCTAAGAGGTGGCCATGCTGGTGATGGCAATGACAAATACAGCAATGGTAGCTAATGTGGGTTGTGTTCTGCCCACGAGCCTGGCTGTGCCAAACACTTGAACTGAATTTTCTCTCTGAATCTTCACCACACCCCTAGGAGCTAGGTATGCATTATGAACATTACAGGTGGGAAAATGGAGGTGCTCTCCACATCAATGGAAGAGCCAGGATCCAGATCCAGGCCTGGCCAGCTCCAAAGTCTGAGCTCTGGACCTCTGACCCTGCTTCCGTCTCTAGGTTCCCATGGGGCCTATGTGGCCTTATTTGCCCACTGTTGACCTCTGTGTTGCAGGATTTCCGAAGGGAATGCTGCTCCACCTCCAGCCCTACAGAAGCTCACAGTCTGGGAGAGTCTGAGCCCTGCACTCTCACTGGGCTGGGATGGAAGTCCATTCACACTGCCCAGCGGCACCAGGGAGAACAGGCCCAGTTCTGGGTCAGCTCTCAGCTCAGCTAGCCAGCCTGGGCTGTCTCCCTGACATTTTATTTTATTTATTTATTTTTGGTATCAGGGATCGAACTCAGGACCTTGCACTTTCGAGGCAGGTGGCAGAACCACTGAGCTACATCCCCAGCCCTTCCTGGCATTTTAGAATCAAATGTAAGTACTGCTTCCACCCACCCTTTTCCCTCCATGGGAACGGGATCATCACAGTGGCAACAGTTGCTACTCTCAGTTCCTGGGCTGTCCAGCAAGTGCCCAGCAGGAGGCTGGTCCATGTCCAAGCCATGTGTAAGGTGTTCCAGGGGCAGGATGGCCTGGAGTTTGAGTGTGGCCACCGTGGAAAACTGTAATTAGAGCAGCCACCATCTGCTGAGCCTTCAAAGCAGCCCCCACCATATGCAAGACCTCATTCCATCTTTGGGGCGAAGAGCCCTAACAGGTAGGCAGCATCCATTCCCCTTTATGGATGTGGTCTTGGACCCAGAAGAAACAAAGGTCAAATCATCTGCCTGAGTCTACGAAGCCAGTTTGTGTGGGGGACAGAGGACCCCCCCCCTTATCCCTCACTAGCTGCAAAAGCACTGCTGTCCTGAGGACGGACTGCCTGGCTCCCTCTGCCCACCCAAGGTCCAGCTGGCCAGCTTCAGCCTCAAGGCCCCTCTTGGCCCCTCAAACCCCTCTGCAGGGTTTGTACTGTCCTTGTGCAAGTCTCTTAACTGCTCTGAGATTCTGTTTCCCCATCTGCAAAAGGAGACTGTCTACTTTAGAGGATGCCTGGATTTCAAAGCTTAAATAGGATAAAGTGGCACCTGATTAAAGAAGTTGCTCAAAAGAATGTTGGTTTTTAAGTTTTTTTTTTTCAGTACCAGAGGTCGAACTCAGGACCTTGTGCTTGCGAAGCAGGCATGGCACCACTGAGCTATATCCGTAGCCCTTTATGATATTTTTTATTAGTTCGTGGACCCTCTGGCTCTTTAAACTGCAAGTCTAAGACTAGGAAGATAAGGGTAGGAGAGCACTTTTGGGCTTGTCTCCTCCCTAGACCTAGTTCGTAAGGTGGGAATTTGGTGGTTGGGTCCTAGCCACTGGTAAGTCAGGAGGACTCAGAGAAAAGGTACCTTAGAGTCACAGGCAGGGTTCAGGCCTCTGTGTGTGTGTGGGGGGGGGACATGGTGCCTCAGTCTCCTTTTCCCTACTAGAAAGGGGTCGTGTGTCACAGACGTTGAGACTTTAGAAGGTGATTCAAAAGCACTTTTCAACTCCACTGTCTGTTTCTCCAGTTCACGTGAACCGGGAATAGAATTAGAAAGCTAGATTCTCTTCCTCCCCAGTGGCCCGCGTCCCCTCCCGGCCGATCGCGCACCCCGCAGTCCTTACCTTGAGCTGCCTGTAGCAGGCAGAGGAGCAGGGGCGCCCACCGTCCGGGTCCCGACATCGTGGCCCCGGGGGCCTCCCGGGCTCTGCCCTAGT